TTCTTTTTTTTTTTTTCTTTCGAAAGTAGGCCACGTCTCTGAAGGGCGCTTCCGGCTACTGAAATTATTGCCTTCGGGTTTCCCGATCACGATGACAGGCGTTTCGGAAGTATTCCAGATGTTGCGGGCTTCCCGCTGGACGCTTTTACAATTACCTTTTCCTTGGCTGTTGAGTGGGGTGTCATATAAACATTCCGAAATGGGTCAGCGAGACCGTGGTTGTTGCAAGAAGGGGCCTGCGCGCGTGACGCCGTATGGTTTTCTTGCAGGTAGAAAAATTTCTTCTTAGGTCTGCTTTACTCAATTAATTTATTCAAATAATTGCTTTACGCACTACAATATATATATATATATATATATATATATATATATATTGAAACGAAGAACGTTTCACATAAATAATTAGGAAAAACTGAATATTAATTATAAGAAGGAGAAACGCGATTCGATTCAGCGTAGTGAACGCCGCCGCCGCCGCTGCCACACAGGGTCAAACGGGAGGCAGGTGCGCGACGTGAGTGACGGGTTGGTCATAACGAACCTGGGCAGCCACGACGCGCGGGTGTAGTAACGAACTGGAAACCAACGAGCGCCGGGTGTATATTCGCGAGTGGGGGCGCTGGTGCCGGGTGAAGAATATAAGACGGAGAAGCGCGCGCGCAATGCGGATGGGCTGCGCTGCCCCAACAAATGGTGTGCGTGAAATTACCAACAAGTGTGGAACTGAATTATAGCTATTTGAGTGGGAGATTAGAGGTGCTAAATAGAGTAGGCAGATGATTAGAAGAAACAGGTAGTGCGAACGCAGAAACCGGATTCGCGTGAAAACATTAACAGTGGAGATTTAAAGTGATCGATAGACACGCATTCATGTCCGCCTGGATTGTAATTCAAGTAACGGCCGCACTGTGCGAACATCGATGGGGATTGAGGAGAAAGGGCCGGGGCTGTGATCGGGGTTGCCCGACGGGGACGCTGCTGCGTGTTGGGCAGTACACGGAGCCAACGCGCGAAATAACGGCTTTCCTGACAACTTTCGGGACGCGAGCGGAGTTTGCCGAGCGCGCCGCCGCCGTTGCCACGGCGGCCACGCTCGACTCCAGTTCAGCCGGTGGAAACATCGGAAGCTTCAAAGGTAGCGTTACTCGTGCACGAACTATTAAAAGCCTTGCGCACTGCGAATTGTAAAGACTTAATGTTAATATAGCGTGTCAATTATTAAAACCTCCAATTGCACAAATGAGTTCCCTTGATTATTCTTCGGAATGCAGCGTCAATTCCCCCTGGAGACGCCATTACGAAAATGTACCGTCCTTTTATATGATTTTATTTGTTCGTGAAAGTACGTTTCCAGGACGGTCACAAATTATATATATATATATATATATATATATATATATATATATATATATATATATATATAAATATAAAAGAAATAAAAAAAAAGTGTGAAAATTGAAAACAATTGTTCAAGATGTACTTTTTATACCAATTAAAATCTTTGAATGTCAATAAAAGCACTCATGATGAATATTCCACTGAATGAATACGACCAAAGAAATTATCCTCCGACTCCTCGCGTTGGAGCAAAGATGTTGAAAGACGGCACAGCACTCAATTGTTTATAACCCACCCTTCTCAAGGTTTCTCTGGGACCCTTCACACAAGCTAATCAGCAGCGCTTCTGTTGTTTTGGCTTAGAGGGAGGTATTCACAGAGCAGCGCAGTGGCGCAGCAGCCCAGTGTACACCCGCCTCCTGCAGCGAAGAACTTCCGTGCCACTGCCAGCAGAAGACAGTTCTAAAAGACAGCCTTCACACTATGTCAGCCGGACGCGCCACTGAACTTTGCAGTTAACATGCCATGCGGCCGCCGGCATTCATAGCGGTGAATCAGAATCCTTCTTTTCCCACGGTCAGTGGCGTAGCCATAAGCTGCATATGCAAGGGCCCTGTGCGTTAGATTAGCGCTGCCAAGGGGCTACATAAGTTATCAAATGAAGATAAGAAATCAGAATAATAATTGTATGAGACTTTACAAATTACTTACTAGCAGTAAAGAATTTTTAGTACTGTTATTACCAAATTTTTATCACAATAGTCTGCTCACTGATGGAGCGTTTTCTCGCAAATTTAAACTTTGATGTTCAATTACCTCTCTTTCTCTGACGCACAATGTCTATCCAATTCTTTTGAATGTATTCATACATCAGAATAGAAATCATAGTTGTGTAGTATTGTATTTTTGTCTGTTAAATTTCTTACAAATCTTGAACAAAAGACAAATCATACTTTTTTCTCACGTTTCAACCCTTTATTGTGGTTTAATTTAGGTGTATGTATGAAAGGCAATAACTATGGTAAAATAATGAAAACAAAATATCTACTTGTAAAAACATTTTAAACAAATTTTATAAATGTAAGTAAATTTAATTCAAAAAGGTATTTGTCAATGCAAATAACTTTTTGATACAGTTTAAGAGATTATCAAAAGCTGAAAGTTAGAAGAAACATCTTCCAGTTTACTAATAGATTTTAAAATATTTATTTAATTTTATATACACACAAAAGAAAATCCCAATATAGTGTTTTAGAGTTTCGAGAGAGAAAAATAAATATGGTCTGTTTGTTTGGTTGTTTTGTTGAATATTTGAAGGAAAACAAAGTAACTCGATAAGGAGGGCCCGGATTATTACGTACTAAGATTTTCCTAACTTTGTCAAATCCACAATATATTCACGTTTAATTATGATAAGTGCCTAAAAACGTTGACTTGACAGTACAGGTGTTTTCTTAGTTACCGAAAGTGCAAAACTTAAAAGAACATATGTTTACACATGACTGAATATTTCCATTCTGCATTTGATATGTAAAATTCATTTTTCCAATACGTTTTTGGTAAGAAATCACCTAGAGAAACAATTTAGTATTGTAAAACGTTTTTTTCTTTATCCTTCTCTCTAGGGAGCCGTTATTGCATCGCTTTAAAATGAATCTGGCCGTATATGCGGGCAGTATTCCAAACCAAAAGGACAAGGCGAAGACAAGGAAAGTCCTTGGCTTCCGGAGTATTAGTATTAAGCGCGAGAATCTCGGAGAACAGAAAGGAAGTTTGACATCTGAAAATACGTCTAGCAGGCGATATCGCGCGCCCACTTTTCATCTTTCAGAGGTCTCATTTACCTCAATGCCCTTCGCCAGAAACTACATGCAGCTCAGGAGGCGCAGTTAACATTTTTTTCTTTCCTCATTTATCACACGCGAACCTACACCGTATCTCTTTGGGACGAAAATCTGAAGTAAGTGGCACTGAAAGTCTTGGACATGAAAAGGGCAGAAAATTATTCACGACGATTGCATTAAACCTTATGAAGCGATGGTAACACGCAGTGAGAATTTGGCACAAAGTATGTCGTAGCTTTGCAAGAGCAGCAGCCCCGGCGGATAATGAGGTGGGTGGGTATGGTGGGTAGCTACACCCACACGAAAAATACCGAGAGGGTAAAATTCTCACTCGGAATTTTGGGTGAGAAAAATATTCTATAAACGTCAAATTCTAGAAATGAACGAAGTATTGCGACGTCTCAAAACGTTAATGCGATCAACTATGTTGCAAGTTCGTCTTTTGCGATCTTACATGTCTATAGTGACATGACCGACAAAATCAATTTGCAATAATTATTAACTGAGTTTACATCAAATAATGCAACGCGCTGCGATGTTTTTGCATTGCAAAAATTAACTGCTGAAGTTATATAAAATAATAGATAACAATTTGAGGAAGATTAATGATAAACATGATTTGAAAAGATGTTTTGAATTTTCCCCTTCAAATACATTTTCGGTGGGGGATGGTGGAGAGGGATGTCCCCCTCCCCCACGGATCAACTACCCTCTCGTACTTAACACCATTCGCCGGCCCTGAAAAGCAGTCTAGTAATAGCGCTTCGGGTAAGAGCATAATTATAGAGCTTCTTCCGGGAGTGCCTCTTCCTCAACATATATGAACGAGATGGGGCACCTGGATTTATGCTGTGAGCTACAGTGCGCAAAACTTGGATTTTTTAATATTCAATTCATTATCAAATCAATCATTTGATTCTAAATCTGTGACATCCACAGACATAACAAAGCAACTGTTTGATACTGAACAATGATAAAAAGCTGAAATTGCCTTAATTAAGAGCATTTTTTCACTTCTAGCTCTAAGCACTAGAATTGGATGAGTGAGTGGCAAAACAATACAAGTCCACGATGTGGCAATTTTGGTTTTGCTTTGTTTTTAGAAATCGTTCAATATGCGTTCGACTGCAAATCAGGCAGCCCCTTTTCTTTGATGAGTTAAAGAACACAATCTATCCTCGTCAAGTACTGCTCTTCCAGGCGCGGATCCACGGGGAAGGAAATTTCCCCTCTCAAAATGTTTCAGTAACTATTAATTTTAACTTATCACAAAAATTTCAAGCAAAAATATCTTCGTATAAGCATTAAAACGAATTAAATTGTTTTGCAACATGAGATGAGTTTAGCCTGCGTCTTTCTACATAATCTGTAATGTGACTCATTCGACCAAAAGTATTTGAATAAAACGAATTCCCCTCCCAAAATTCGCTTGTTTCCATCCTTCTCGGGAATGCTAACCACACGAACGCCCCTTAAACCATGGCCGCGAGGCAGAGACGTCGCCGGTACGCCTGAGCCCGTTCACGGGCTGTCGCGCCAAGCACATACATGCATACGGAGTGTGCTGTGCACGCTGTATCTACCGCGTGGGCCTCACCAGCCAGTAGAGCCCCACCTACCAAAGAATCTCAATGTGTTGTAACGTCCCCCACCTTCCGAAGGGGCCCTACCTACCAAACAATGATCCCCGTCTACCAAAGAATCTCGGTGTGTTGTGGTGGTCCCCACCTTTCGAATGGGCCTCTCCAACCAGTTGTGTCCCCCTACCAAAGAATCGCAATGTGTTGTAAAGTCCCCCACCTTCCGAAGGGGATCTACCTACCAAATAATGATCCCCTCTACCAAAAAATCTCGGTGTGCTGTGGTGGCCGTCACCTTCAAAAGGGGCTTCTCCAGCCAGTTGAACTCCAACTATGAAATATACTGGAAGTTCTGATTATGCTGCACCTACCGGAAGGGTCTCGCCAGCCGAGAGGATCTGTCTCCAGCGAAGAGGCCGAAAGTCCTGAGAAATCCCCTTATTCCTGGGTACGGACAGTTTAGTACCACCTACCAAAAAGGCCCAAATTGCTGAGGTACCACTTCACTGAAAAGCCTCATCAGTCTAAAGGACCTTCTTTCAAAGAAGCTCAACGAGCTGAGGAGGCTCCACCTTCCGCAGGAGCCCCGCCATTCCACGAGAGACAACGTGCCGAGAAGACTCCACCTCCCCAAGGGGCTTCACATAGAAAAGAATCTCGAGGTACTCAAGAGGCCCCGCCAACGGGTTGAGTGTCACATGAGAGGAGACTACCTACCACGGCCCTACCTTCCTTCTGCCGAGGTCCCATGAAAGGGGGGGGCTATACACAGAATGGGCTAATCTGACAAGCAAGTGTAGTCAGCGAGGGGTCTTCATCTTATTTACCTCCTTACCTCACGTTCTCCATTCTCGCTCGTGTCTTCTGCAGCCTATTATCCATCTAATGGAGTAGTGTCTCAGCACTAGGTCTAAACAATATGTCCTGCTTTCTTGATCCATATAATCAAATTAATTTATTAATTGTATAGCCCTTGTAATATAAATCAATCCATATTTATCATTTAAGTATGTGAACACACAATATTTATGTACAATAATTTAATATATTTCGTTGTGACTAATTGAACTCGACGTTACCGTCAGACCGAGTCCTTGGACCAACCCGTTCTATAAGGTTCGGCGAGTGCGATACTGTACACAGGCGTCTGACAAAGTCACGGTGTAAAGGAATAGGTGTGTCAACTCCCAGTCTAAAACTAAAACATTTTGAGGCTAGTTCTAGTAACAGTTGTCGCGTGCCAAGCACCGTTGTATTTACTACTACGAACTGTTTTTTTTCAGCACGACAGCGGGCAATGTGAGCAGTAAATGACAGGTTTCATCCTAAACATTGTGTATACTTGGAATATGTTATAATGGGAGAGGAAAAACAAATAAATAAATTTCGAAAATCAGAATGTGGGATATTCGTAGTAATTAGAGTATATGTTATTAATAGAGCTTGAGTAATTAAATGCTGATAATAAGAAAAATGTAACCTTAGAATTAAATATTTTTTATTAAAATACTTTTATCCTATGTAGCGATATGTGTCGACTGAAACATCGGATTCGACCACTAGCTAGAACAGCCGGGGGCGGCATCGAAAATATTACAACCTGAGAACGACAACGGAAACGTTCTCTCGTGAGGTCTAGATATGAATACCTACAAAGAGATGAAAGGAAGTGCCATTTGAAAAGGCCTTCCGAACTGAAAGTTAAACTCTAGGGAGGGGATTGAAGCGGATCCAACATAAATACAACGCTCACTTTTGCCTTGACTTCAAGAGAAGGATGCCCACAAAAAGAAGTGAAAGTTTGAATCTGGGGAGGGGAACAATGCGATTTCCACTTACCACAAGCCTCAGTTTACCCGTTGACATCGAGATACTGACACCCACAGAATGACGTGAAGGGCAAGTTTCAAAACGGCATTCCCAGTTAGAAAGGTTAAATCTGATCAGGGAGTCTAAGAGATTCCAACCTACTCGCGACAATGCTCATTTCCCCCCTTGACTTTCAGATGCGGGTACCCACAAAAAGAGGTGTCAGGAACGTGCCATCTGAAAACGGCCTTTCGAACTGAAAGGTTGAGTCTGGCCGAGAGATCAAAGATATTCTGACCTGATTCAACCTGACCACTACGCTCGTTTCTCTCATGGACGTATTAACACGGATATGTACAAAAAGTGGCAGGAAAAACCATCTGAAGATGGCTTCCCAAACTGAAAGGTTAAATCGAGGCCGGGGATCGAAGATATTCCAACATATCCATGGCATCGCTCACCTCTCCCCTTGACGTCTAAATGCGGATACCCAAGTAAAGAGGCAAAAGAAGCTTGACATCTGAAAACGGTCTTCCAACTGAAATGATTAATCCGGAGACGTAATCGAAGCAATCCTAACGGGACCACAACGATCGCATCACCCCTTAACGTCTATACTAGCCGCCAAACTGGAAGTGCAATGACCGCGCAGAGAGAGGGAGCATTGTCAAATTTCTGTTTACTCTCTTTCCTTCCCTCTCCGTTAGACCTGTCATTAGGAACATCTAAGAAACCTTAACACCTCCCTACCTCCAGAAGATGAGGACAACTAGAGTCAATATTTCTGACGAGTTTTTTAAACAATTCACTTGTTAGTAGCCATATTTTTGTTTCACTATTAGTTACTGACACAATTGCAATACCATTATCCCTTTAACTACAATTGAATAAGGAAAAACCAAAACGGTGTGACATTTTATAAATTCTGAGAAAAACATTTAGTTATATTTTAGTGGCAATGTATTTTCGTGATTTTAATGAATTATTAAAATGCCGTGGTGCCCTATACGAGTAATATAAAGGGGAACACATAATTGCCTCAGGCGGAACGTGCGTCACGAACAAAACGCCGCGCCCCCTTTCCTACCGGCACTTATAATCCTCCTGTTCCATCCCGAGTTTGCAAGAAATAATTTCTTGAATAATTCTTATTTACCCACCATTTATTTATTCACCTATATAATAAATGCATGTGTTAGGTTCTCGAGCGCGAATATCGTGTATCTCTCTTAAAAACCTAACGCGAGCATACATAACGTCCATAACGTCACTGCGTTCCATGAGGAACATTCTATCATCTTGGCATTTAACAAATTCAAATATAGATTTGAAAATGCGGTATATTGACATCACACTTCCCTTATATTCAACGACTTTTCGCAACTTCCGGGTTAATTTTTCTGCAATAGGGTATTGGCCTCGGTCGTAAAATTCTAATGCAGTCCGGCGCACTACCGTTTTGTCACAATCGTACAGGTTTGTTCCCGTACGTGATTTTCTTCAGTGTTTCCCAGATGATTTCAGAAGCACGGATCCTGAAGCGGCAATAGATGATTTGTCGGCCTTCAAAATGCGTCCAATAGTTTTTGCTGCAATGTCACAAGCTTTCGCTGTCTGCTGTAGAACTTAGGCAACGCTGAGAATAGGGTGGCCTGCGTCCAGTTTCTTCTTGAAGAATGAATAAACTGCGTACACCACGTTTCACGCTTGACTTCTCAGCACTTCAAGCTTACGTATTTTTTCACACATATTAAACTATCACCTTCGTTCGAAAAAACAACACAATGATACAAGAAACGAGCCAATATGCGCGAGGAAGCAGGGGAATTCGGTTCTCTTCCGCAGTAAATACAACACCGAAACCTATTCACTCGTGACCGTCACGTGTTTTTTCCTTGTTACTGCGCATCTCCGGCCATCGGGCTTCCAAACTGGCTGCCAGTATAGATACGGATGCTCCCGAAAAGGTGAAAGAAAGGTCTCAAGAAGCTTCTGAATTAAAAGGTTCAATCCTGCCAGGAGATCGAAGAGATTGCAACACACCCATGACACCGCTCACTTCTCTTGACGTCTGGATACAGATACCCCCAAAATAGGTGGAAAATCGTCTCGAAACGGTTCTAAACCAAAGGATAAATCCGGCCAGGGGATCGAAGAGCTTCCAACCCACCCACGCCAACGCTCTCTTCTCCCCTTGACGTAATGGATACGGATACCCACCACAAGAAGTAAAAGACACGTGTCCAGGAGGCCTTCCAAACGGAAAAGTTAAATCGATACCAATCCAACCAGAACACTTCGCTCTTTGACGTCTATATACGGATACCCCTCAAAAGAGGGACCAGAAAGCTTGCTGTACTAAAAAGGATAAATCCGGTCATGGGCTGGAAGATCCCAATTCCCCCCCCCGACGCTCACTGGAGCAGGCGCCGCCTTCGCCGGTGTGCTTCCCCCGGCCGCGGCTTCCCCCTTGGCACCGGCGTGGAGCAGTTCTCAGACAGGGCCGGCGGGGTTGGCGTCGTCGTCGGGGTTGGTGTGTGCGCCGGCAGCGAGCAGCGCCCACGGCAAGCGCGGGGCGTCGGTGCAGCAGCAGCGGCGTGCGCGACAGGGTGCCTCCGAAGTCCGCGTCCGTCGCGTCGCCGCTCTTCGCCGTCGACGCCACCAGCGCTCACGCGGCGGCGGCGGCCGGGGAGGGAAGCGGCGGGGACGACGCGGGTAGGGACTTGGCTGAAGAATCGCCCGAAAGCACATAGGGCGCTGAAGGGTCTAACGATGCGGTGTGACGGGTGGGCAGAGGAGCTGATGAAGAACATGAGAGGGTGGGTGAATGTGGCGTAGCAGGAAAAGACCCACCACAATCGGCTAACAGATTCAACAATATGGTCTGACAGACGAATGGGGATGAGGTGAGTGGGTAGATGAATGTGGTTTAGGTCGGGCGGGGAGAGATGAGGGGACGAGGATGAGGAATCTTGAACAAAGAACGAGTATTTGGCCAATTGGGAAGGAATTCGCGCGCTTTTCGAGCAAGATTACTCTCGAAAGCGGGAAGTTTGAACTGTATTTCTTCTACAACACCTTCAAAGAGAAACGAAACTGAGCTGGCGTCACTAAATTGCAAATCGCCTGTTTCGTCGCCCAAAAATACCTCCTTTCTACGCTAGTTGGGAACCGGAGCGTAGCGAAATTTGCGTGGTCAGGCGGGCCTGATGGCCCGAGTCTCGCCACGTAAAATAAGGCAAATTCAATTCAATTCAAGTCTATGTACCAACAGTTGTGGAAGGGCAGGTGCCACCAACATCACAGGTGGGCGAGACGGGAAAAGGACGAATGCGTCGGGATTTGGGATAGCTCCAACGCACAGAGAGCGGAGGAAACTTTGAAGGGTCTAACAGTGTGGCCTGAACGACGTAGAGAGGAGCAGATAGTGAGAGGGTGGATGATTGTGATTTGAGAGGAAAGGCGCCACTAACGCCGGAGGCAGTAGGCGAGAGAGCACTGCCTTTCCCAGCGAGGATTCGCAGTCCGGGGATTCCCAGCGGGGATGACGCTGAAAAACCTAGCATCGATTTGGAGTCGCTCAGTTTTGTTCGTAATGAGTTCATTTGTGTGGCAGTGTTGGTGAGAAAATAGTATCACGTGTAATATTTATTAAAAGTTTATTGTAATATCATAAGCATGACAATTTTCAATACAATTTTGAGAAATGAAAACTTGCAGTATTTTTGTTTTTGATTCTGTTTTGAAAAGTTCAAGCTTGCTTGGTAACTGGTTTCCAAAGAATTTTTTAATAGAAAAGTTGTAAGAATTGTTTTCCTCTTTAAAACTGATTGCAATTACATTCCAACCGAGCTTAAGATTCAAGAGCTATACAAAACAAACAAGGACAGGGATTCCAGGTTTTCGAGTCTCCTTAAGTTAGCACAGCGTCTGTGAGGTCGAAAACTTGGAGGGGGGTCACTAGTGTGAGGGTATTTACAACTTACCAAAAAAAATTTTTAATGCTTTTTTTTCAGGTGTAATGTACTTACATACAGTAGTTATTATAACGTACTAAATGCTAACAAAATAAATCTGACACACAAGGATAATTGTTTAAGAAATAGGTATTCTAGTCGTTAGGTTGGCTCAGCAAGACAGTGACTGTAATGCCCCAGTCTTTAGCTTGAGCTGACACGTCTAATTATAATCAAAAGATTTTGATTTTGCTTCATACACGTTATCTGGTATATTTGCTTGTGTAGCGTCGTGTCGCGCTAACGGCGGGCAACGCCGGATGTTTAATAAAGGGCGGAGTGATGACGCACTGGGACTTTCCGTGGACGTGGCGTGGTAAGGCGGCGGCAGGTAGCGCCGAAGGGACTATATAAGGCCACGAGTACAATGCCCAGATCTTGTTTCCCAGCAGCGTCGGCGGCAGGTGGTGCGTGAGTTTATGCGAGTAGGTGCCCGAGGGCAAGGGGCTGGCAATTCATTGTCGTGGCTAGCGAAACATGTAGATAGTATCAGGGTAGAGCGGTGCTCCGCACAGGGAACACTGATCGTCTGTTGCGGTGTGGTAGCCGTGCTGTAAATTACCTCTTCTAGCAGTGTGTTCTATTTATTTAGTTAATTGTAAGCAGTGTAATTGGTTAATTGTGACTACGGTCTAGATTTTGAATAAACCTACTGTTCTTACAAACCACTCTCGTCTGTGTTCTGATTACACCCGTATGACGCCATATAAGCAGGATGAATGTCTAAAGAAATGTTTTTATTCTTTAGACTATAATATGAAATGAGTTTGATATTTGGTATTGCACGGCCACCACTGAAGGTGGCCGTGGTATTATAATTGGAAAGAATTAAGAAGTGTCCCATGTGTTTATAACCTTGCATAGTTTAAATCATGAATATTAGGGGGGTTGTTAGGTTTAGGTTCTCAAAATCTTGATTACACTTAAGGAAGATAGTGGTGTCGCTTAGTATCTAATTATAATTTTGTATTCTTTATAGTATGTTGACAAACAAAAAAAATACAGGTCTTAAGTTTAGGTCCTGATGGTCCTTATGTTGACATGGTGAGTCAACCTTAGGTTCCCAGTATGTCCGCTATAGGAAACATTTTAATTAATGTAGCTTTCTGCAAATTTAGATAATATGGCACTTAAAAAATCCAGCAGTACGCAACGGACTTGCTAATGAAAACACTAGATGCTGTGAATAGAGAAGTTACAATGCAGCAGGTGTAGAGGGCATGTGTTGAGGGTAATACTGAAGGGCAAGCATAAGGGACAAATCCGAAAGGGCAAAATAATTGGAGCACCTTCTGTCTTTTCTCCTGGAGATAAAAAATGTATCTATTGAGTATTGCTATTGCAAAAGGTAGGCTTTCTGGTTTTCAAAGCTCCTTTTTTTTATATTCAATGAGAACCTTGGCAAACAAAAACGCTACCTGTGAAGACCCAGCATGGGTTTTTCAGGCAAGACGATAATTTAAGAATCTGAATCTGTCAAAATTTCACAGCAGCAAGATACAAATGAAATGAAAAGAAAGAAAAATCGGAGCAGTGGTTTGAAGAAATAAGGAATTATTTTAAAGAAAAGGATATTCCATCAACCCTCCAAGTTCCAAGAAGAGTATTTAACACTGATGAAACCACTTTCTTCTTAAATCATTGAGAGAATGTATAACAAAAAGGCTTTAAAATAATTTATAAGAGAGGAAATTAAGAGAAAGAAAATATGACTTCTTTGATTACAGGAAATATTGCTGGAAAATTAGCATCACCGATACTAATTTATCAATACACTTACCTACCAGCTGGAATGATGATTTGGGCAACTGGGAACTCTGCGTCAATCACGAGTTATTTTGAGTATATAGCAAATATATTTTACTCTTGGCTACTCCAAAACAAAATTGAGACGCCAGTAGTTGCATTTGTAGATGGGCATACTTCTCATAACTCTTCCTGACTCTTCCAGTTTTGCTCGGAATAGGGTATTGAGCTTGTAGAATATCTCAATCTACCTATCCAATTCAACCTATGGATGTAACTTTTGTTGGTGTACTTAAAAATACTTGGAGACTGAGGGACCAAGAGTGGAAAATAAAAGAGAACACTTTGCAAACAATCTTCATATGGAAATTAAGTAGCAATATCAAAACAACTTTGTACGCCTGAAGTGATCTCATGTTCTATGTGTGTCATATTTAACATTATATTCAATCATTAAGAATAATCAATTACTAAATTTAATTTGAATTTTTTGTTCATGATATCCTTAGGCTCCTCACGTGTCAGCTTTAGGAACCAGTGACAATCAACTTATCAGGTTTAGGAGCAGAGTATTAGTTTCTCTTTTCTTAAAAAAATGAGTCCTTAAAAATAAAATTATTTATTATAAAGGATATTTAAACTCAGCAACAATCCAACTATATCAGAAAAGAAAAGTTTTTCAAATACTTTTACCACACCAGCCAGCTGAAAGTAATTTTTTCCCTAACTCTTGAGATTCTGGTACCATTAACTCAATGACAATTTATAACAGCAATCAAATGTTAATTAAAAAATGTTTTACAATTAGCTAATTGTGTTCCAAGACTTCAATCTTGTCTACGTAAGTTAAAGTAAACTAGTGACAAATATTACTGATTTGAGGGAGACGTTAATTTGCTAAGGAAAAATACATCACCAGTGGGTCATAATAAATTATTTCAATTTGTTTTTGTCAGAGCAAACAAAAGCGTAATATCATTTTGAAATGCTTTCAGACTTCACTTTCACACTAAGAGACAATAAATCAAGAGTTCAATCACCATTGCATTTAATTTTACTTTTTCAAGTATTATTTGATCTATTACAGCTGAATTACAATGTAAAAATGTCAGTAGTAGACAGACTACTGACAACAAAGATTGATAGCAGTTTTAATACTACTGTTTTAAAAGACCAATTAAAATTTCTGTATAGTTTTTAACAGAAATGCAAAGTTTTCTAAAAAAGAATACATTTGTTCACTACCATAATATGATGATCAGTTCCACATTCAAGTTGGCAGTATAAGCTTGTGTCATTCAATTTAATTCTCTTCTTTCCTTCATTCTTTACCTTAAATCAGTTGTATGTATTTAGCATTTTAGGTTGGATTACTTCAATTTTTGCCAGCTAGAGTGAATTTGTTTTTGTATTTTTTATTATCCACACCTGGGGGTAAGGGAGACTTCTGGTGAACATGACACAGTCCGAAAAACACCAAACCTAGCTTACTTGCCCTGTCCCTTTCACCACTCAGCTAAAGAAACTGAGACAATTTTGTATTAGAAAGCTACGACTTCAGTTTTGCCCTGACCAGGAATCGAACCCGATTGATTTTTTTTTACTCTATCTATACAGGTATTTTGTGGAAGCTATATTTGAAAATGGTATTCCCTACACTGCACTCATGCTCTTCACATAGGTTTACTAATATTTCCCCATTGTCATCACCTGTTTCTTCCCTATTCTGAACTAATTCACTCAATGTTATCTACTCGGCTATTAAAATCACCAATTATTACTCTTTCATTTTGACTAGAGAATATATCTACAATTTTACTGAGATCTTTAAGAAACATATTTATTCATCTACAAGTCCATTGTCACATGCAGCATTTACTCCTAAAATTGTTGTCTGATGACCAAAAATGTCCATTAAGAATCCTTTCATTAATATTCTCCATTGTTAAATGAATTTTATCCATATGCATTTAATAAGAAGAGAAACTCCAATTCTGGTTCTCTAATTTCTGCGAACACCACTCCAAATATTAAGATCTCTTTCCCTGCCCCCTTTTTTAGCTTCTGTAAGAATAATTATATCAAGGTTCACCATTTGTAAACTTTATGTGAATGTCTATCTTCTGCATTAATTATAATAATTGAAGGAATGTGAGATTTCTCTCATCTCTTGATGAGCCTTGATATATGTAATTTCTTTGAAATAAAACTATTCTGTCAAAAAGGAGGAACATGAATTTTCTCAAATTTCTCATTCATACGTATCACACAAAACATTAAGTTACAACAAAAAATATTTTCTCCATTTTGATTTTAAATAAAATAACGGATTTTAATGAATCACACTCAGTTTTGTACCTAATCCAAGAAACTATCTGTAAATTTGTTTAGTTTATTGCAATGTTGTTGTTTTTCCTTAAAAAAACAGATAAAAATAGAATTTCTGATGGGTAAAAAAACAACAATCAAATCATAAACATCAAAGAGATGATGTGTCTGACTTGACCAGTTTTTCTTATACTATCAACAATTTTTTATCAAAATGTTGTTCGTTTGTAATGTGGTGTCAACACCTGGACAATAGATTTTTGAAAATGACACCAAATAGGGTCGAAACGTCAAAGAGAAATAAATTGTTATAAAAATATAATGGGTGTTTTATTAAGGTCAAAGAACCATCGCAATATAATAAAGAAGAAAACAGATGTTAATATATTCATGTAAAACATGTTCACTGTAATTCTGGGAGGGGAAAGATAAACTTGTGTTAATAATATATCAAAATATAAATCTTTACAGCATGTTCCAACATCTACATTTACACTACAAAAAAAAAACAACAGTCATTTAACATTTAAAGTTTTCAGTTGAACAAGATTTGTACTTAATATTTTATAACACCTTTTTGAACAAACTGATAACATAATGATATTATGGTTTCAGAAGTTCAAAACTTTCATATCCTGTAACTCAAACAATTTTCAAAACATGAATAACTTACTCAACTCGAACAACTCTTCATGAACTTGTAGTACATAAACTGTGTCTATATCTTTTCAGGCAAGAATCAGATTACAAATAAACAGAGCATATGCACCCCCTCCCAACCCGCAATTCATTTTATCAACTCAGCACTATTTATTATGATCATTTCATATTTTGAATTAATAACAAATCGAGGGCAAACGTTTTACTGACAAATTTGTAATGTGAGAAAACCATGACTGGCACTCAATATTTATGTGACACAACCATGTTGTCAGCATTGTTACATAATCCTAGGGCTTGACAAAATAAGGTGTCAAAAATATTATTAAGACCTCTCTGCATCTAAAACTAAAAAAACAAAAAAAACTGTACAAATTACATTTCGGGACTAACCTTAACACAAATCACATGGACGGACTCTCTCATCACTCCCAATAAAGGAATTCCAAAAAAAGGTTAAAATTCATGGCATCAAATTCAAAGCAATATTTATGATTCATAGTACACGAAATATACGAACACATAACCACACATAATGATGTGACACATTAAGAAGCAACAGAAGCAGGTGAAATGTCACAACATTTTAAAAAAAACGGATTATTGACTATTCCAACCATTTGAACTGCTGCATCCAGGCTGCAACCTTCTCCGTGCTCTTCTTCGAGAGTATTTCACAGATGTTGCATACCACAACCATAGCACCATCGTCCTTTGCTTAAATCAAAAAAATACCATACAAAATTAGTTTCAAACATCAAAATGAACTTGACAGCACGAATAATTGTCGGGATTAATGGAATTATTTACGATTGTCAAGGAATTATGTAATTTATTTATTTTTTCTTTAAAAGAAGGTTGCAAAAGCTTATTTATCTTCCTGAAAACTTTAATTTGAATATTCTCCGTTTCAAAACAATTCATACGATATGCATGTAATGCATATGTAATACGTAAAGTAATTTAATGAAACAATATTTTCCCACGATAATATATCCAAAGCTCAAGGACAAGCTGAAGATCATTTCCATGTCTGTAGGTTGGTAGCCACGATTAATGTAGAGATGATCCGTGGTCGACTACACCTTCGTGAAGGACGAAATTATCGCAACAGTGCCCTCGCGGATATTCGTAATGACGTCAGAGTCTTCGGCGGGAAAGTGGGGTGTAGGTTGGGTTGGTTGACATGTTCTTGTGTACTATGGTATTAGTCGGTTTCATACGTTTGTATTTTATGTTGCTTATTTACGTTGGTATTTGTTTCCTTTCGATGTATTGAGATTTTGGCTGCGCATCTCGTTCATTAATACTGTATATCAAGACTGTTTAAAGCTTCATATGGAAATGTTTTAAAATATATCTTTTTAGTCTTTCTCATTTCGATAATGATTCGGAATTAAATTGTAGCATGATCTTAGCGATGTTGCTTCGTGCCATATGATAATAAAAATTAAAATTATGGAAGGTTTTTATCCACGCACTCTTTCATTGGATATCAAGTGCCTTCAAATTTCGGCCCCAGTACTATTTGAGTACAAGTGAATTCCTCTACAGTTTCTATAAACATCTGTTGGCTTTTTAATATTAATTTTAGACTTTTACTGATATAAAAATTACCCACCTTAATCCTTAACGAAAGTTCACGAAAATTCCGTAATGTCCGTAAAACACATAAGAGGCGAACATTTCTGATATTAGCATGCTACTTTCCTAGGCACTTAGAAGGCTACTTTCTACTCTTACTCATAATAATGTGAACTAAGAGACAGAGATTCTGGAACTCGCGAAGACATTTGCACCCGCACAAGAAATATGACTCAACATATACGATTTAAATTGTGTATGTGACTCAATAATAATTATTGTTATAATTAGTATGAGTGACAAATATTGTTATAATTACAATGAGTGACATAGACCTAAAATAACTTTATTCTAACGTACGAACGTTCTTCGACACAAAAATTCAATTAATTTGTCGTCTTTGTTCCGAGTGCTGTAATATTTATTACAGCATTGCCCTGTCTCTCCAGCCCCTCTTGCCTCAACCCACTAGGCGTACCTCACACAACTTGGTTGTTGGGAAAATACAATTTCAGAGAAAATTGAACTTCTCTTTTCAAAAACGTTTTTAAGTGCAGATAAGACAGGAAAAACTTTCAAAAAAGGTCTCCGCGCGTGAAAAGAAAAACGATAAATATAACTCAGCTTTGTGTTTTGGGCAGGCCATGTCCGATGATCCATGAAAGAATAATCGATTCGTCCAATGAAGAAAGTCTTTATAGTACCGCATTTAAACCATTTGCCCCGGCTTTCAATATCTGAGCAAGTTACCCAGAGATGATAGTGCTGCCCTCACCGGCCCTTTAGGTCACGTGTTCTGGACATTCCATACTTTTATGACCAAGTAGAAATGGGGATTCCCCGTAGTAACAGACCAACACTCCCTGGAATTTGTGACGTCAACATGCTTGAACATCCATCCCTGGAGGATGCGTCCTTCCAGCCCAGTCGCAGGAGGTACAAGTACTACGTGCAGCTGACGTGCAGTGCGTGGTGGGTTTCACATAGCAAAATCTGTGAGTCCTGTATTATTAAATGTTAGGTCTGTAATTTATCTGTGTCCAGCAACTGTAAGTGGACGTTAAAGTAAGAAACGCGGGGATCAATGTAAATACTCGACATTCAACATACCTTTTTTATTTTGTGCCACATATTCGATAGTACTATGTTATGTTGATGCTCTTGGGGCTTTGATTTGTATTGAACTTTTCTGTCACTGAATTGTTTGGGATACCTTGTTTTTATTCCTATTTGCTTTTAATGGTATATTATGCGAGGGGGAATCTCTTTTGGCACTTTCATTTACTCGAACACTAAACTACTGCATTTCTCTCTGCAAAATAAATAGAAATTGCAATGCTCTGATTGCAAGTTTTGCAAATTGCAATACTCATTGTAAAACTAAATAGTAGTTGCAGACTACTTATCTGTTATTTTAGTACATACTAGGCCCAAAAAGTGCTAAAAAAAATCCTAAATGATGGACCTATAATATTGTAAAATTGATATTTGCTCCGATGTAATTCATAGTTAATTTTGCATTCATTTAAATAATTCTTTAATGAAATGTGCAAAATAATACAAGAGTTAAAATTTTCTTCAACATAAGTAAGTACAATTGTTTTGATAAACTTGTTGCAATTTAAATGAAAATAAAACAGTAAAAAGTACTCGAAAGTAATTGAAGAATTGTAATTAAACAACTATATTTTATACCATTTAGAATTGCCAAATTTTTATCTCATTATTAGTATAGGTTAGGGGATACAATTAGGGATAACTATTGTGGGGTAAAGTTTTCCTTCTAACTGAAAATTATACTTGTATGTTGATAAATATACTTGCATGCTGTGGTCCATTTTATCAATTTAATAAGTAGAAAATGGGAAAATAAAAGGAAAGCAGATTTGGGTGGTTAGTGGGCATCCTGATTGAGGCCTAGTTTTACAGGGGATTGAATGTGTGTGTAATTGTACCACTTAGTATATTTAATCTCAAAGAATAAGCTAAGTCATCTCATAAAAATGAAATAATGTACTACTGCATTCCCCTAATCATGCTCTATGTTAGTTAAATACTACCTGAGGGGTGCTTGCTATGAACATGATGACAATGATGTAAATTTCATAAAAGCTTTAATCCTAACATGATTAATTGATTAACATCAAATAACTTGTTGTCTCTTTATTCTTGATACAGTATTTGTTCATATAACCACAATGCAATACATGTTGCTCTCCTGTACCTATAATTTACTTTTCAAGAGTGATCAGCTTATGTCGAAGATACGTGAGGTCTCTTCCTTCATTTGGCAGAACTGCAAAAACTGTTGTGAACATTTACACAATAACCGCTGTTCATTTTGAACCTGAAAATTGTAATTGCAGATCCCATTCTAAAATATAGATAAAAATCACTTGAATTTTTAATGTGAAAGTTATGAAGAAACCTCTTTCCGATGACTTTTGAGTGAATTTTGGTGTAAAATTATTTCCCACATGTACTAAAGTTGTTTCTTTAAGTGAATAATTTGTTTCCCACACAGGTCATAATGTCAGCAATGGAAGATAGAGTTTTTGAATTACCTGTAAAGACCGGAATATCACAAGAAGGTCAACGAGTCAATTGTTTAGAAAAAAAAATGCTTGAGGTTCAGCAAGCCATGGAAGGACGCTTCGAGCGTTTAGAGACATCCTTGGATCGTGCACTAGGTTCAATGGTGCCTCGTGTTCAGGCTCTTTTAGAAGCAATTGAACAACAATCTTTAAATAATGAAGCATTTAACAGAAGACAAGAAAGTGTCACAAACCCTGATAGAAATGGAGAAGTCTCTTTGATTGAAGAGAGCCAAGGTAATTTATAATTAGTTGTTATACTGTCTTATAAACATAGTTTTCAGAGTAGTATATTTTCATATTCAGTAAACGTAAGATTAAAAACATTTTTGAATGACTTTACATTTTAATTTCTCCATTTTTTAATATGAACATTAACATTATTGTTTTATTGTATTATGATAGGGATAATCATTCCTTAATTATAATAATTTATTCCTTTAAAGTTGCACTTTCATTTTCCCTGAAAGAAAATTCAACAATTCATTCCGCTCATTTATTATTTCTTAGCTACTGGCCACCCTTTTATTGCATTTAAATTGCTTTTCTGTTTAAACATGTTCTAGAATCCTTAATAATGTGAAATTTGGCACAAAAATGTCATTATAAAATTGCGTGTTGGTTATCACTGCCCATTTTCTTTGGTGTCATGAAAGAATGATATTTTTCTCACCGATATGAATATTAATTTTTTTTTAGTTAATGAATGAAGAATGAACTCAAATTAGGTAATTAAACATTTTTAGTAGAGGGAGATCATGCACTGAAAATGTACGGAAATGGGTGAATGTAAGAACATGCTTTATTTGATGTACTTTATTGTTTTATTTGAATTTATTATTACATTAGTTAAGCTTTTGTTGAACTATTGTTGTGAATTAATATTGATAGATCTCAATAAATAAATAAAATGAACTCTCTGTTATTTTTCATAAATTACAAGAAGCTATCTAATACCGAATTTCCAAATTTTATTTATGAGCAAATATCAGGTGAAAAACACAAAAAAGCATAATGAATATAAATTCTATATATTTATAAGGGGTCATTCATAAATTACGTGACGCAAATTTGGAGTATTTTGAATACATCCTCCCCACTATAACTCACCTGCAATGTGCCCTTGAACCACCCCCCCCTAAATAATTACATAACATTTGAGAAAACACCCCTCCCCATTTACAAGAACTAAAAATAAATTATATCACAGAAAAAAACATTTTTATTCATTTTATTTGTTTTATATTTTAAAACTTATGATAATTAAAGTCAGGATTAATTGAATCATTTATTTCAAAAATCTGTCATATGCCAAAAATTTAAAAAACGAGTTAGCAACAGGATATTGTTCTATGAGGATGAACTCATTGTTTAGTGCAGAAAACATATATATTTGCAACTCTTGCAATGTAGTCTGAAAGACCCCAGAAAGTTGGGTTTAGAACAGAAATCCATCAAGCAACATCATTCGAGGAGTTTCTGCTCTAAACCAAAAAGAAATTTCTTTTTAACCCTGCAGTGGTCGCAGTGGACAATCATGAAAATCAGGATGCCACATGTAATTCAAGCTACGTTGAAGGGTTATCAGCACCACCTCAGGGGTCGGTTAGGTTACATGTTCAGGAGGGGAGATTTTCTAAGAGAGGTTCAGGAAGTCTCTACGTGATCTCCCTCTGTTCTTCTAAAAGTAGTGAGATTTTTTTTTTTTTTTTTTTTTAGTAAGTATCATCTGTTCAGAGTGGAGTTTTGAAATTGATTTTACAAGTGATTTGATTTTGCTGTGATTAGTGAGTAAGAAAAAGTAATTTTTTTATGAGAAAATGTCTAGTTCTGAAAATTAACTTGTACGTAAAAGGAGATGCGAAGTTGGTCGCGTAATATCATACACAATGCCAGGGTGAAAGCTGAGGCATATATTTCGTACACTGGAAAGAAAGTAGATCTAAAAACAAAGTCAGAGGGCATTTCATGTAACTAAAATAGTACATACATATAACATGGATTTGTTTTACCCAATGTATGAAAGCACTTCCATAATATTTTGGTGACATTCAAATATTGCGTCAGACACGTTTGTCCTACATTTTATTATTCTTGTTGTAGGTATGAGACCTTATGTACAATTTTATGACGAAAATTTGCATTGGCCAACCAGAGATGGTAAAGGTGATGGCGTTATTGTGCTTCAAAACGAATAACAAGAAATTTTTGACACTACAATCTTGACAAATTCGACTTATCTTCTAAAATTATCTTGTCTAATGTATTAAACAATAAATAGTAACACACAGTTTCATTAAAAGTTATTAATACTTTTAAAAATGATATTTCAAATCAGAACAGGTCATTTATTGCAGAAACTCGTCACGTGCATGGGTTTTAACTTTTTTTTAAAACTACAATGAGATCAGTGCAAAAAATATTTACATGAAAACTATTCATTTATCAACTGCTTTAATACTAAAAAATATTTTGAAATTGGAAAAACCAAACCTACAGCGCTAAAAACCTTTTTCTTATTTTTCTCGAAATGAGGAATTTGGTGTTTAACAGGTTCCTGAAATTAACGATTCAATTGGTGATATTGGCTACACCTAACAATAAGATTATGAACAAGTTTTGTGAAGGAAGGAGAAACGGACATGAATACTTCTTACAAGCCGTGCACACATTGTCGTGAATGATGCATGAGCGACAATGTACTGCAGCAAATTAATTGGATTCTGGAATATACGACAGATCAGTTTTGAATATTTTCTTTGTAATCTTACATATTCAATACAAAAACATTAATAAATACTTCCATTTATTGTAATAAATTACTCATAATACCATTAATTTATTTATGTTCTTCAAAAAGTAATTAATTACTACTTTAATGGTTTAGTATAAGACAAAAAAGGAATTCTTTCAATGCTGAAAAATTAAAAATAAAACATTGTTACATAACACTGAACTAACACCCCCTTATCCCCAAGTAACAGAGCCTAATGCTGCCTCAAAGCCCTTCCCCCCCCCCTCCCTTTTGCGTTACATTGTTTATGGATGACCCCTAAAGGTCCTTAACACTTTTTTATCTCATGTAGAAGTATCTTGTCATGAATATTCAAGAAGAAGTTAAGTCACAAAATTTATCAGTGGATTTACTATTGGCGTTGTCCATAAGTTATGTAACACCAAAGAGGAACAGAAGGGGATTTAAGATAGCATTGTGCTGCACTTCATTTAGTTGTAAGTTTACTGTTACTGCCATTATTTATTCTTCTGAATTTTTCAACATTTGCTGAAATTAGTCCTTTTATATGATCTTATACTTATACATTTTTAATTTATTTATATTATTAATATTAATTTGTTAATGTTGTAGTACATATATATACAGTTCTAATTTAATTGGATTCTAGAATATACACTTTCATAGGTCGGTTTTCAATTTTTTCAATGTTTCAAAAATATATATATTTTTATAGATTTTTTGTATATTCTAGAATCCAATTAAATCAGAACTGTAGTCTCAGTCATGCATCACCCATGGCAGCAAGTGCCACCCGCTTGGCAGAAAATTTGTTACCTATGCATCCAATCTTATGAGGTGCAGTCGGCATTGCCAACTAATTCTGAATTTATAGTACTATTTATTTAGTAGTGAACACGACACATATTAGCTGTTACGGTTTCATCCATTTGGGAGCTTATATGTTGCTACAGTGACATCATTATGGGAACGTTCAAGCTCCTGATTGGATGACACTATGAACAGTTGATTTACTTCAAATGCACGGTTCATAAGTTTTAATAAGTACAAATTAAATTTATACAAATTGTTTTTTACTTTCTCACCCTGAAGAAGGTACTTTTCTATTATATAATTTATTTTTATTTATTGTGAAAAAGCGGGTGTTGCAAGAGTTACATAATTATTGGTGTGGGGTGGAGTTAAAGAATGCGGAAAGAATATTACGTAATTACATAATTTACGGCTTACATAATTTATGGATGGTCCTATTAATTAAATACATACATAATTTATTAAGCATTTTCCAATTAAAATTAATGTTCTACTTCCCCCTCCCCCTCCTTTCTTTGTTTTTCTTTCACAACTCTAGATTCTGCAAGAGAATTAAATTTGCCGGAGAGGCTTGTTGGTGCATCAGCTCGTGGTGATGTGAGTCGCGTGCAACAGCTGCTAGAAGCGGGAGCCAGAGCTTTTGATCGAAGTGCCGATGGTGACACAGCACTGCATGCAGCTGCAAGAGAAGGTCGTGCTGAAGTTGCAGAGATATTGTTGTGTGCTGGAGCGGATGTCAACACACGAGGCCAGCACATGTATACCCCTTTACATTGTGCGGCTTTAGAGGGCCATTCTGCTGTTTTGCAGGTGTTTAATTGTTTTTTCTGTTTTGTTCTTAGGCATTCATTGTTCATGAGAACAATTTGAATTACAATTGTTAGATTATTCAATGAGAAACAGGGCAGCTCTCATAAGTAAGAGTTTGGAAAAATATGTAGTAAGAAGTGGCAAAATATGTACATAAATGTGTAATGAAACAGTAAGAATAGTATTAATTTTTTAAAATATATATTGATTGGACTGCTGGTTTTAAATGTATTTTAAGTGTGCATTTGTTTCGTTGAGAACAATGACAGCCATCGTACAACACATTGGCCACTTTCTGGAAAACCAGGAAAAATCAGGGAATTTTTTGCTCTGGAAAATCAGAAAATTTATAGAACAATCATTAGAAGTTACAAATAATTCTGAGACAGCTATAAAACTAGATATTATTTTTTTAATAGAAAAAGTATTATTTTTTTCTCAATTTTTATTTGTTGGAACAATACTATTATTTTTTGTATTTTGTCCTGGTGATATTCGTAATCTGCCTGATTAGTATCGTGCTGCTTTTAATACACTTTTTAGTTTGAAATTACAATTTTTTTCAGGAAAAAATTAAGGAAAAAAACAGGAATAATCAGGGAAATGTGTTCCAGGAAATGAATTGCCACCCTGTACAAATGTGAGATCTCAGTGACCAGCTGTTAATCACTGCATCATTCCCTCTAAGTTTTCCACGTTTGTGACACCACTATTTCTAGGAACTTAGGATTAAAGATCAAGAAACATGGTGTTTCCATGGTGTACCTTACAGTAATATTCTCAGCACTGTTGCTTGTCATGACTTTTCACACTAGCCACAGCGTAGATAACTAGAGCAGAGCAGACAGGGTTAATCCTATCAGCATTTTCATCCGGTCAAAGTTTCAGGTGGGGTCTTGAGGTCATCGAAACACAATTTTTAATTTGTGTAAGAAAATAAATATGATTTTGTAAATAACTGATTTAAAAATTTCATCAAATAATGTTAGAATTGCGAAGATTCACCAAGATCCTCAATTGAAATGGAGTTGTAATTAATTAATAAATTACTAAATGTAATTATTAAGTAAATTACATAATGCTAAGGAGTGGGGAAAAGAATTTAAAGCAGCATTATGTTGTATTACATAGGGAAAGGTGAGTATTAGTGTTTTGTTACAAAACCCTGATATTTAATTTTTTACATTTTTCATCAATTTCTTAAATAATGCCTTTTTTAGTCTTATACTACAATATTAACTCGTAAATTTGTTTTAAAACATAAATAAATTAGATTAGTTATTAGATGTAAAATGAGAATTAAACAAATAATGGAAACCTTTTTTATTCAATGTCTAAGATTATAAAGAAATGGTCCAAACTGATGTCTAACATATCCTAGAACCCATTTAAATTGGTGCAGTAGATTCTTGCCCAGGCATTGTCCATGATTGCATGTTGTGATAAAATAATTTTTCACCTGTGCCTCCTTCCTTCATTCACAACTTTCCCCCAAATCCTTTTCTTAGGTGCAGTAGGAATTGCCAACTAATTCCAACTTTAATTATCATTAATTTTAATATAAAACAAATAAAATGAATTAATATTGTTTTTACTCTGCTGTAATTTATTTTCACTTCTTGCATTTACAGTGTGGCTGAGATATTGTGAGAAGTGTTACGTAATTATTTAAGAGGAGTTCAAGCACATGTTACAGATGCATTTCAAGGGGAAGAGGGGGTATTCAATATAGGGGCGTCCCCAATCTGTCCACAAAAAGACCACAATATATAATTCCATAAGACTGGTCTTTCCTCATATAGGTATCCTTTGCCATTTCCATTCCATAATTCTTCTTTAGCCTTTTTTCAAGTCTTTTCTCCTAGCTAAAAGTAATATTCTACACTTTGACTAAATTCAGAAGGTTTCTCATTTAAACAATTATAATATTTTTCTAAAATGAAGAAATATGTCTTTTAGTTAAATGAAATATTCTGTAGATTATTTTATCATACAGTTTCTGAAAAAGTAGAATAAACAGCATTGTTTAATGTTGTAAGCCATGATTCAAATGTGGAAATGTAAAGAAATTTTTAATTTTCTGTAAATTTTTTGTCACTATGTTGTGTGTGTTAATTCAAAGATGCTTCAGGTTTTTGTAATTTTACAAAAGCAGCAGGAATCACATTCATTAGTCACTTTCTCACTTGACCGTAAATGTGAGACAAGTACAAATCTTTATTGTGCTTGATATGTGAGTTACATGGCAATACCTCCAGTAGTTTTGCAGTTTCTTTGCTCCAATGTATCCTTGTTGCCACTGAGCTAAGCCAAGCATGAGTCTAGAGCAATATAGCATGGCAACATTGCTTTTCATGAGATCTGTCGAGCACAATGAAAGGTTGAGTCTGTATATAGATATACAGTGAATCCTCCATCAGGCCCGCAACAGACTACATCGTTATTTGTGTTTATTTACTAAAAACCTTTCATAAACATATGGCATAAAAGAAAGTGATGCCTATGAAATTTTGACACTGTACATTTGTTAATTACTTTGACAGATCATTTTGGGTGCTAAACCACCTCTGAATGCAGAAGACGTCGAGGGAGCCACAGCTCTGGCCTTGGCTGCAGCTGCAGGGCACAAGCGAGTGGTGCATCTGCTGTTGGAAAAAGGAGCCCAAGTTGTGACCAATAATGCTTGTAATAAAGCACCATTAATAATGGCTGTTTCAGCAGGACATGAAGAGGTATGAAATTAATAAATAACAAAATTCTCAAAACATCATGGGCGCTTGTTTCTTGTGCAAGATTTTCTTTCTTTCTTTCTTTCTTTCTTCTTCTTTTTTTTCCTCTCTCTCTCTCTCTCTCTCTCTCTCTCTCTCTCTCTCTCTCTCTCTCTCTCTCTCTCTCTAATATTTGTGAATTTTTCTTTAGGCACATTTTGACTCATTCTCCTAATTGTTCTATCTTGTGCCTTTTTTTATTCTTCATAGAGCCTTCCATTTCCCTTGTCATCAAGTAATGACATCTTTCTTCTTTCCTCATCTATTCTCCATTCCTTCTTTTCCCATCTATTGTACTCTAGTAACCCTTTGCACTTCTAAGACATCTTCTATCTCATGAGCTCTTTAATTAAATTCCACTGATACTCTACCATAGCTTGCATTTTGATTAAGATTCTACGAGAACATATTCAGCCCTACCAATAAACGTGGTGTAAAATTTATTCTGTGCTTAAGCCCAGAATAGCAGGA